AGCCTGGGCAACACAGCAAGACTCCATCTAAAAAAAATGATATCTGTGATGGCATTTGGGAGGGTCAAAGGGGAGGAAATTTGATGGGACAGCAGGGCATCAAGTGGAATGTGTCACAAGCAGATCTGTAGCTTAGAACTCAGGGGAGGGGGAGGCCCTGGTGAACAGACAGGGATCCAGCAATGACTGAAGATGAGAATAAGCAAAATTATTTTTGCACCAAGGACTTGGCTTTGTGGGACATCCACAGTTATAAAAGGGGAAGAAAAAGGGAAAGCAGTTTAAAAACTGGAAGCATCAGAAGAAGTAGTGATCCGGGACAGCAGAGCATCCCAGCAGCCAACAGGAGAGAGGTAAAAGGAAGAGCAGTCAATACTGCTGGATGCTGCAGAGGAGTGAAGGAAAATGGGGGCTGAAGGAAAAATGGTTTAATTCGGTGACTGGGAAACAACAGCGGTGACTTCAGAGAGGGCAACTGCCAAGAGAAAGGTGAGAGAGGACGCTAGATTACGAACAGCAGAGAAGCAAATGCGAGTTGACTTCTAGTGAAGATGGGGCTTTGAGGACCACGCCAATCCAAAATGATAGTGATAATAGATTAAATATAAAATGAGAGAAATGTAAGACATTTCACACTTAAAAACATCTCCACAGCCCAGAAATGGAACAGAAACAATATGATAAGTAGCCTGAAGATGTAGACCAGCTCAATTCTGCCAAAAGCAAACAGAGGCATCCAGGGGCAAGACTCATACAGGGTACTAAGAACTAAATAACCCATGTGAGGCAGAAGACTCACATAAAACCAAGGGCTGGGAGAAGGCTACCCCCTTGAAAGGAACTGCCTAGGGCTACAGGCTTGTACACCTCTGTATACCTAGGGAGATGGAAGAACCAGACATAGTCTTAAAGCCGGAATTTGACCCTAGAGAAGAAACTGGATCTACAATACTATAGGATAAAACCGAGGTCTAGGCCTGGGAGGCCCAGAAAGTAGGTAACGGCAAAACTATGAGACCAGGAAGGTTAAGCCTAGGGGGACACGAAGGAATGAAGGAACGGAAGAGGGAAGGTAGAAAAGGAAAGAGGGAGAGAAATAAGAAAACCTGCCGAAAATAGAAACCGCAACATGGAGAAGAATTCACATCAGGTAAAAAGAAAATACTAGAATATCTGAAAATTACTTCTTTAAAAAGAATTTGTTCAAGACTTTCAAAGGAATTAAGCAGAGGAATAACATAAAAATTATGAAGCACGAACAGTCAGAAATAAAATAACCATGAATAATTATGAAGAATAACAAATTAAAATCCTGAGAATTAAAAATACAGTCATAGAAAAGTTGCTTTTTTTTTTTTTTTTGAGATGGAGTTTCACTCTTGTTGCCCAGGATGGAGTGCAATGGTACGATCTCGGCTCACTGCAACCGCCACTTCCTAGATTCAAGAGATTCTCCTGCCTCAGCCTCCCTAGTAGCTGGGATTACAGGCACCTGCTACCATGTCCAGCTAATTTTTTGTATTTTCAGTAGAGACAGGGTTTCACTGTGTTGGCCAGACTGGTCTGGAACTGCTGTCCTCAGGCGATCCACCCACCTCAGCCTCCCAAAGTGCTAGGATTACAGGCTTGAGCCACCGTGTCCGGCTCAGTCATAGAAATTTTTAAAAGAAAGAAAGAACAAAGAACGGGATAAACTCTGAAATGAACATACTTAGAAAATTGGGAAATAGTACAATATTGCTAAACAGACCCATGACAAAATATATGCACACACAGAGTTAACAGACATATACGGTAGACAGGGAGACCTCAACATACTACTGCTAAGAGTTTCTGGTGAAGAGCGGTTTGGTGATTAATACATTCATTTATTCTTTTTTTTTTTTTTTTTTGTGAGATGGAGTCTCGCTCTGTTGCCCAGGCTGGGGTGCAATGGCGCAATCTTGGCTCACCGCAACCTCCACTTACCGGGTTCAAGTGATTCTCCTGCCTCAGCTTCCTGAGTATCTGGGATTATAGACGTTCACCACCATGCCCAGCTAATTTTTGTATTTTCAGTAGAGATGGAGTTTCACCAGCTTTGGCCAAGTTGGTCTTGAACACCTAACCTTGTGATCCACCCACCTCGGCCTCCCAAAGTGATGGGATTACAGGCATGAGCCACCACGCCTGGCCCATTTATTTAATTCTTATAATGAAAAAAGTATATTGGCAACAAGTATCCAACTAAAGAAGCTGAAAAGAATGTTAGTGAAAATCCAAATAAAGAGGAAGAAACTAATATGCAGGCAAAGAGATTAATAAAACACACACACACACCCACACACATACACACACACCAGAAGTGAAAAAGAAAACAAAAAGCTAGTATAGTCGGCTCTTCATCTGTATCTGCAGTTTCCACATCCACAGACTCAACCAACTGTGGACAGAAAATATTCTGAAAAATAAAAAATAACAATACAACAATAAATATGCAAATAAAAACAATACAGCATAACAACTATTTACATAGCATTTATATCATATTAGGTATTTTAAGTAACCTAGAGATAATTTGAAACATACAGGAGAATTGTGTAAGCTATATGCAAATAGGATGGCATTTTACATCAAGGACTTCAGCATCCTTGGATTTTGGTATGCAAGGGTGTCCTGGAACCAATCCCCCACAAATACCAAGGTACCACCGTACTTTGAAAAACTAATAAAATTGACACACTTCTATTAAGGCTGATCAAAAATAAAAGAGAAGGCACAAAAATATTAGAAGAGAAAAAGTAACATAAACAATTCAAGTAAAATCTGCAAATACAACTTTTTTTTGAGACAGAGTCATCCTTTTATTCCTTACTTTCTTAACAAACTGCTTTCACTTAAAAAAAATTAAAAAAAGAAACAGAAAAGAAAAGAAAGAAAAAATGAAAGATCCTATATCTCTAATTAGAAACTTTAGAAAAAGATAAATTCTAAATAAAATACTAGTCACTTATATTCAAGAATGTATTTTAAAAAATGAAAATACATCATAACCAAATAGAATTTACCCCAAGAATATAAGAATGTTTTGACATCAGAAAATATCTATAAATTTGTTCACAATATTGACTACATATAGAAAACCACACACAAAAAAACCCTCAATGGAATTTTTTTAAAAAGACATTCTACAAAAGTAAACATTCATTCATGAGTTAGTAAATTTTGTATATATTTTATTAGGATGAATTGTCCTCTGACCATTTCTTCATTCATTCATTGTGTTTCCTTCCCCCCATCTACCATTAAAAGTAAGGCTGTAATAAGTATTTTCCCACAGTCTCTTTGTGCACTCGTAAAACTACCTCTCTAGAGTGTATACTTAGAAGGAGCATTGCCTAGGGGAAGGATCTGCTCATCCTCAAGTATTTACAAATTGTAAAGGCTTGTACAAATTTACACTCCTCCCAGCAGTGTATGGGAGCTTCCCCATATCAATGCCAACATTTTCAGTACTTTTTCCCGAAATGAATGGGGATAAAATTTATTTATGAATTCTACCATTATTTATTGAGAACCTAGTATGTGTCAAGAACTGGAAAAGAGTAGTAGGTAATGAGGTAAAAAGGTCATGGTGTGCAGAGGATGCACGTGGTACCATTGTCATAACTTTGGCTTTTATTTGAAGTGACATGAAAAGCTATCGGAGGATTTGATTCAGAGAAATGGCATGACTTGACTGACTGTAAGAATCACCCTGGCTGCTGTATTGAGAACAGACTATATGGAAGTGATGAAGGAAGCAGGGAGACTAGTTAGGAGGCTATTGCAATAATTCAGACAAAAAGATGACGGGGGCTTAGACCACTATAAAAATGCTTTGTTTAAAAATATTCTATTTTCCAGAATTGCAGTGAGACCATGTTTATGACCTTAAGGTAGAAAAGGCCTCCTGAAACAATACAAAAAATGCCAAAGTCATAAAGAAAAGGATTAATAAATTTTAGTATATCAAAACTTTACATCTGTTCAACAAAATGAGATTCAAATCCCAAGGAGAGACTGGGTGAAAGCATTATAATGCATGTAGTAAAGGACTTGCCTTTTTATGTCCCCAGAAAAAAGACAAACAAAATTGAAAAATGGGCAAAGGGCCGGGCGCGGTGGCTCACGCCTGTAATCCCAGCACTTTGGGTGGCCAAGGTGGGTAGATCACGAGATCAGGTGATCGAAACCATCCTGGCTAACACGGTGAAACCCTGTCTCTACTAAAAAAATACAAAAAACTAGCCGGGCATGGTGGCGGGCGCCTGTAGGTCCAGCTACCCAGGAGGCTGACGCAGGAGAATGGCGTGAACCTGGGAGGCGGAGCTTGCAGTGAGCCGAGATTGCGCCACTGCACTCCAGCCTGGGTGACAGAGCCAGACTCTGTCTCAAAAAAAAAAAGAAAAGAAAAGAAAAGAAAAGAAAAATGGGTAAAGAACATAAATAAGCAATTCACAAAAGAAGAAACATGAATGGCAAAGAAGAAACATGAATGGCAAATGAGCATCTGAAAAGATGCTCAGTCTTACTGGTTTTTTGTTTTTTGTTTTTTTGTTTTTTTTTTTTTTGAGACGGAGTCTCGCTCAGTCGCCCAGGCTGGAGTGCAGTGGCCGGATCTCAGCTCACTGCAAGCTCCGCCTCCCGGGTTCACGCCATTCTCCGGCCTTAGCCTCCCGAGTAGCTGGGACTACAGGCACCCGCCACCATGCCCAGCTATTTTGTATTTTTTTAGTAGAGACAGGGTTTCACCGTGTTAGCCAGGATGGTCTCGATCTCCTGACCTCATGATCCGCCCGTCTCGGCCTCCCAAAGTGCTGGGATTACAGGCTTGAGCCACCGCGCCCGGCCAGTCTTACTGGTTTTGGGGGTAAACACAAATAAAAAGAAGGGGACACTATTTTTCATACATTGGATTGACAATAAGTAAGAAAGACTGATGTATTGGCAAGCATCTGGAAAAACAGATATTCTCTTACCATATTCCTGGAAATATAAACTGGCCAACCTTTTTGGAGAACACATTGGGCAGTAGTCCTTCGCACTTTGGATGCGCCTATCGTTTGACTCAGTAATCTCACACCTTGGTATCCACTGTAGAGAGATATTTGCACATGTGCAAAAAGGAAACAGGTACAAGGTTGTTTCACTATAGCACTATTTATAGTGGTAAAAACTCATAGCATAGCAACCTAAATGATCATCAAAAGACTGACACATAGTGATGCATCTGACTTATGTAAGAGCATGCAGCAGTTGAAAAAAACTAAAATGTACTGACAGAAAAACCTCTGAGAGATATGGCTAAATTTTAAAAAAAAAAAAAAAAAAAAAGCAAAGTTGAAGAACAATCCACACTGTGTGATACCATTTCAGTCAAAACAAAACAAAGCAAAATTCCCTCACTGGCTCTCTCTCTGTCTGTGTATAGATATAGATAGATAGATACATATACACATGTACATAGATGCAGATGTATGTATACAGATAGATCAATACAGATATATAAATATCTAAAAAGATGAAAAGACACACTCCAACTTGAAATCAGTGTTTTCTGTAAGGAAGAACCTGAAATAGGGGTTGAAGGAGGAGGATGAAGAAAAAGTTTTTATTCATCTTATGTGATTTTCTTAAAGATCCCTTGAAGTTTCACTATGCTTAGGAAAAGACCTTCCCCTTTCTAAGTTACTGCTCAGTGTCAGGCATCTGGGCCCCTGCACTACATTCCAGACTGGCTGCATTCCTGGTGAAGCCAGTGATTCATCTGAGCATGCCCTGGGCCAGCCCCAGGTGCTGATATTCTGTGCTTTATTCTAGGTTCAACATCCACCCAGACTGACCATGGGCAAATCAGTTTCAGTTCCTTTCTCTTATCTAGCTCAGTTATGGGGCAGTTACCTCACAATGGGATGCAAACGAGGATTCAAGCAAAGTATTCTATAAGCTGCCTCCTCAATCTTCTCAGCGCCTCTGGTAACCAGCCAAGCCAGTCTTGGCCGTGTGGAGGTGGAGACTTCAGGGGAAATGCTTGCTGACTTTGTGCACTATTCCGAGCAAAAAGGCAAGCTGGGGATACCACTGCTGGAAAATTTTTAGTGCAGCAAAGTGTTCCCTACCCATCTGGCCGACTAGATACCGTTTTTCTTGCACCCTTTTTCAGTAAATATAGGGCAGATAAAATAGCCTTTTACCCCACAGATGAAGCCCTGGAGAGATCATCCATAAATTACAAATATAGATTGATTCGGGGTGGGGGTGGGGAGGGAAGGCAGGAGAGGACTCAAATGCCATAAACAAACTCCTAAGGAGAATGCTATGAATAAAAACTTCCTGTACCAGTCAGCAGCATCCTAATGAGAGGGAGCTCACATGTGTACAACAGCTGTATAAATTACCAAGCTTAAAGGGTAGAACTAACCGCATCATACTACTTCCAAAACACTCGATTCCTTCTTTCTTTCTTCTTTTCTACTCCAAAATAACCTAAAACAATCCTATAACAATTACAAACTGGGGGAAAGGCAAACCATTCTGGGAAAGAAAAAAATAGCAGCTGCTCTAGATATCATTTTCAGATTTTGGCTAGGATTGTTTAAGTTATTTTTTATTTTTTTTTTATTCTTGGCTGGCTTGACAGCCCTTCAGGATTTCAGCTGATTCCAAACACAGCTCAATAAAGATCATTCCAGAGAAGCTTCATATTCCTAAGATTCCTTAAATTTCTCTTTATTTTAACTTAGGAAATTAGGTTGAAAGAAGATGAAAAACAGCCCAGATTGCACCATTTCCTATGCAAGTTTCTTGCAAAGCAAGCTGTGTCCCCCTTTCCAACAAGAACAGAGAGACACAGTTCTGATTGGGAGGTGGGCGGCGGGTCCTCTGAAGCAGCAGCAGGACTATTTGTCTTTTGAAAATATCCCAGCAGGTCCAAAGTCTGTCTGAAAACTTTTTGTAAAGGAGGAGGAGAAAAAAAAATGAGATTCTAGTGAGCTAACCATCTAAAAAAGCCAGTGACTGCACTGTGGACTTCTTTCATGCACCAAATATTTATTTTGCACCTACGTGTGCCAGGCTCTGTTCTATATGCTGAAGAGGGAGCAATAAAGACAACCAAGTGTCTGATTGCCTCAGAGTTTCTGTGCCTGGGGACCAAACTGTTACAGGAAAGTGGTCCTGATCCAACCCCAAGAGAGGGTTCTCGGATCTTGCACAAGAAAGAATTCAGGGCAAGTCCACAGTGCAGAGCAAAAGCAAGTTTATTAAGAAAGTAGAGGAATAAAAGAATGGCTACTCCATGGACAGAGCAGCCCCGAGGGCTGCTGGTTGCCCATTTTTATGATATGCTAAACAAGGGACGGATTATGCTAAACAAGGGATGATTTATTCATGCCTCCCCTTTTTAGATCATATAGGGTAACTTCCTGACATTGCCATGGCACTTGTAAACTGTCACGACGCTAGTGGGAGTGTAGTAGTAAGGACAACCAGAGGTCACTCTTGACGCCATTTTGGTTTTTGTGGGTTTTAGCCGGCTTCTTTACTGCAACTGTTTTATCAGAAAGGTCTTTATGACCTGTATCTTGTGCCGACCTTCTATCTTATGCTGTGACTTAGGATGCCTTAACTGTCTGGGAATGCAGCCCAGTAGGTCTCAGCCTCATTTTACCCAGCTCCTATACAAGATGGAGTTGCTCTGGTTCACATGCCTCTCACAAAACCAAGAAGACAATTCAAGGAAGCCCTTTCCCCTGTCTGCTCCCAGCTGGGTTTCAAATCTCTTCCTTCTGTTGTTCCTTCTCTTACAACCCTGGTTTATTATACTCTTTACCCTTCCCTTATGTAATCACATGTCTCTTTGTAAACATCAAAGGAAAATAAGCAGGCCCAGGGAGCTGATGAAAATGAGGATGACTCATAGAAGGACGTTTTTCTATTTTTCACTTACACAAGCCTCTTCTGAGAAGAGCCTAGATGCCTTTTCTTTCTGAAACTAGCTTGTCTCCTCTGTTGTAGTGAGTCCTCACTTTGGCTCCGATTATCAAAATCTACTCTCAACCATTCACTGCTATTTGCCTCCAGCTCACCTGGGCCCTCAGAGTAGTCTGGCGATCATTTCTTATTTCTCTAAGCAGCTTTTCTCCCCCACCTTTCACCCTTCATTTAGGCTATTTTAAAAAATCTTCATACTCCCTGAAGTTCCATGCTCATATGCCACCCCAACCACCACATTGACATTCACCCACTATAGAAGTGTCCCATACTTCATAGACAAAATAGAAGCCATTGGAAAACTCCATTTCCAATCATGCCACCTAGAAGGTTCTCTGCATCTGTACATATTTTTTTCCATCCTGCACAAAGAAAGGGTGCCCTCCCATTTAAGGTGAGCGCCGGCACCCAAGCTTTGGATACACCCTCCTTTAGTATTCTCAGGAAGGGTCCTCCATGTGTTATTCCCTTCTTTACCTCTCCATTCATTTCTTTCCTCTGCTGGGCCTTTCCTTCAGCCTAACACAAAACCCCTGGCCTCTCTTCCTACAGATTTCCTACTAAAAACTGGTTCAGAAACGCATCCAAGAGTTAATGAACAAAAAAGGAACCAGGAAAGGATCTATATTAAAGATACTATTCGTTGACCATTGGATTTTTTTCATCCCCATGACTGTCTCCTTTTTATTCATATTCGTCTTTCTGGAATATTTTCTCAACTCTATTTTTTTTTTCTTTTTTTTTGAGATGGAATCTCGCTCTGTCGCCCAGGCTGGAGTGCAGTGGCGTGATCCTGGCTCACTGCAACCTCTGCCTCCCGGGTTCAAGCAATTCTCCTGTCTCAGCCTCCTGAGTAGCTGGGAATACAGGCACACGCCACCATGCCTGGCTAATTTTTCCATTTTTAGTAGAGACAGGGTTTCACCATATTGGTCAGGCTGGTCATGAACTCCTGACCTCAGGTAATCCACCCACCTCGTCCTCCCAAAGTGCTGGGATTTTACAGGTGTGAGCCACTGTGCCCAGCCTCAACTCTATTTTCTAATCCTTCCAGTGAAATTTTAATTTTGCCATTCGTATTCTCATTCCCAAGATTTCCTTGTTATTTCTGATAATTCTTTTCATATCATCTTTTGTCTTGTTTTAGGTAGGTAATACCCCTCAAATCTCTGAAAATACTAATTAGAGTTTGTTGGTTGTTTTTTTTTTTTAAACTGACTTCTGTTCCCTAAATTATATCTGTCAGCCTTGCGGGATACTAGTCACGACTGGGTGTATGCTGATAGGTATGTATACACATTCGTATCAGTTCTCTAGGTCATGTTCCTGAACTCCAGATGTGTATCTTTAACTGCCTAGTGAACAAGTTTCTTAGACATTCCAAAGGCATTGCAAATGAAACTCATAGATCCCTCCAGGCTTGTTTTTTTCTTTTATCTCAGTAAATGACACTACCACCTACTCAGTTACCTAAGACCCATCAGTAATTCTTGACTGGCCCTATTTTTCCTCAACTGTATCCAATATATTAATTCCTAGTGAATCTAGCTCCTTAATATCACTGGCTGTTATCTCAATGTTTCCCACTTTATTGAAGGAACATCGGCGGTATAAATCCTGGCATATCTCCACATACTTAACCATTCTATCTCAGGGAAGGTGGAATGACCTGTGATTTGTAAATTTGGAAAGGACAAACTGGGCATGCTAGTTTCTGCCACCCTTCCTCCTCGTGGCTGCTGGGACAGGGGGCACACATTCTAATCCTCCAGGTGTAGTTTTTCTCAAGGGGCGTCACAGGTTGGATTCCCTGGGAGGTAGATGCTGAAATGGAAATTAGTATGTAGGAGGTTTTATTGGGGAATGCTCTTGGGATTGATGCTTGTTCCCAAGGTGACAGGTGTTTCCTTGTTGATCTTAAGGAAAGGGAAGGAAAAGGAAGGGGAAAGAATGAGAAGAGAGGGGTAGAATGGAAGGGGTAGAAACAGGAAAAGAAGGGAAGGGAGCAAGACTGGGCAAAGGGAGAAGTTGAGCTGAGATTCAGTCTCAATGCAGGCCTCAGCTGGACTTTGGGGAGCACCAAAACTGGGATGGCCTTTCAA